CAGAAGTCAATGTCATCTGGAATGCTTGATGCATCACAGACAGGGGTAAGGAATGTCTCTGATCCAAGAGCTTTGGCCTCTGGCTCATTGTTGAATCCCTCTGCAAGAAATCTTGGATTTTTTGGCCATGCTTTAAAATCTTCACATGGCTTTCATCAAAATTACTCCCCGCTGCGCCAAGTGCAGGCAATAATGAATGTAGAGACTGATCCAAGTGGGAGGGATCTGGATGAACAACAGGTAACTGCTGTGGCAGGGCAGCAGTCAACTTATGGTCATAACAAGGATGATGAACTGAGTTCTGCATCAGCTCTCAAGTCATCGCCACATGGAAATTCCAAAGCACCAAGTTTCTTGACTGATGCAAGAGAAGATCCAAGTGTAAAAACTTCTTCACCATCTGCTTTCCAAGCCCAAGGCATGGTTGCATTTGGTGAAAGTGATTCCCAGAGTCAATCTACTGGTAATACTGTGTTATCTAATCATGCAGAAACTTCTTGGGGTAATTTACGCATGGCACCCAACTGGTTTAAGCAGTATGGGACTTTCAGAAATGGGCAGATGCCACCAATGTATGATGTAAGGTTTGCACGGACTGCTGCAGGGCAGTTCTCTCTTGTGAAGCCTTCACAGAGTCTGAACATACATTCTCCCGTGGAACAGATAGATGCTTCTGATGCTAGTCAAAGCAGCAGAGTCTGGCCAAGTACAGCTGCCAATTTAGTGGGAAGTGAACCATTAGCTCCTTCTGTGTTGCCTTCAGATGCCATTGATGGAAATACGGCTAGTGTTAGACCAAAGAAACGCAAAATTGCAACATATGAACTTCTACCATGGCACAAAGTGACACAAGGGTCCAAAAGAGTTCAAGATATCAGGTATTTTGTTATTTCCCATTTCTTTGCTTTTATGTCAATCTTGGTGTGTAGTGTAGAAGATGAGTTACTTCTGATTAGATATTCTTATCTTTCTTCTGAAAGACTGATCTTTTTTACCCACTGAAGTGCACAGCTGACCCTTTTCGCATCTGTCACTTGAATGCAAGAAAAAAAATGTTATCTTATTTTAGTCTAATTTCTTCTTAAATTTCTCTGTTCTTGTACATATACCCAGCATACACACTCCTTGGGTCGTTTTCTGCTCATGTTTGTTAACTTTTGGAGTGCACTTGTTTATGCAGTATGTCAGAGCAAGACTGGGCACTGGCATCCAATCGGCTGATTGAGAAAGTGAGCTTTTAGTTAAACAGATCATACATTGCAATTCATTTCTACTTTAAAATTTCATCCAGATACTCGGATCCAAGTGGTTATAATATCGTTCATTTTTAATGGCAGGTTGGGGATGAGTTTGAAATGTTTGAAGATGGGCATCAAATCCTTCGATCTAAGAGAAGGCTTATTTTCACAACACAGCTTATGCAGCATTTGCTTGGCCCTGCACCCGCATCCATTCTCTCAGCAGATGCTGCTCTGTACTATGATAGTGTGGTATATTTTGTTGCTAAATTATCATTAGGGGATGCATGCAGCCTGACCTGCAGCAAAAGAAACAGTGCTCATATGCCACCAAACGACGGTAATATGTAAGTGTCATCTTCATGGTTTTTTGAAAAATTGGGAGAGGACTTGTAATCCGATTTGAAGTTTACAAAAAATACTTGTAGTTGAAACTGTATGCCTCGAGGATTTGGCCTTCTAAGAAGTAATTTCTGTGTAAATGATTTGTAGGATTCTGGAAAGGCTTAAGTTTTCTGAGAGTATTGATGACCAGTACTTTTCGAAAGCTGTTGGAGACTTCACAAATAGATCGAAAAAGCTGGAAAATGACTTACTGAGGTATGGCAAAGTTTTCCCTTCCCGACATCCTTTTGACATTTCTGGTAACTACACTGTGTCATACTGCCTTCGTCGGGGGATAAATGGCAGAAAAATGTTTCTTGGAACCAACTTTAAGCAGTTGGACTAAGCCTCCGCTAGAAGTTTACCGGGGTACTCGTACATTTTTGCCCAATGTAATCACCTATCTATTCCCAAGGTTCCGGACCAAAAGAAAAAAAGAAAAAAACTATATTCCCAAGGGTAAAATAAATATTCTGTGTTTTTCGATTCAGAAAAACGTAGTGTGAGAATTGGATAACCTTTAAAATTCTGCCTAGATAATTTTTCAGAATCAATACCTTTTGTATATATGCATTGAGCCATATAGTTAAATTTCTCTTATCTCATGATATCTTTTAATGTTGCAGGTTAGACAGGACGGCATCAATTTTAGATTTAAGGCTGGAATGTCAGGAGTTGGAAAGATTTTCAGTCATCAACCGGTTTGCCAGGTTCCATGTCCCCCGAGCGGATATGTCTGCAATCTCTTCTTCATCTGGTACAGTACCAACTGCACCAAGACCATGTCCCCAGCGATATGTCACTGGACAGCCACTGCCGAGGAATCTACCAGAGGGGGTACAGTGTCTTTCACTGTGATTATCATGATTGATCCTCTACCCAACTGAATCCTCTTCTCTTTTCATCTATATTTGCATTCCGTATCCCGCTCATGCACCGGTCTATGATCACTTTTTACTGACATATATGCTGGCATTGAAGAAGGAAGATGGAATGCAGGAAGTGGTCGAACCCAAGTAACGAAGGCTGCTCGTTCATTTTTGAACCAACACCTATTGTTGTCATTTTTGGGAAAGTACATATTGTTCTTTTGTATATTTTGATGAAGTTCCAAGGAGAATAGGTAGTACCTGAAGTAGCAGGAGGACTGTTGGTGTGCACGTGTCTCTAGTTGCCTAAGTTGTTGCATAAATTAGTTTAATTTAGCATACCTAATTTATACAGGAATATCTGGTGGCTAAGAGCACTGTAGTATTTCCTCATCTCTTTCTTCCCCCTCCACTTTTTTCCCTTTTTGTCTGTTTACAGGTCTTTTGCTGCATAAAAGCTGTGCTGGCTGAACTGGAGAGTTGGGATGTTTGAGGGGCAAAGCAAATTAGTTAGTCAAATTGAATAATATTATGGAAAAAAGGTACAGTTTGGTTGTAATTTTATATTCCAACAGATGCTTTTATTTTACTCTGGAGACTCCACCGCAAATATGGGAGAGTTTTTAAAAGTTTCTGACTGTTACCCCTTGCCCCTTAATGATAATATCTTTTCATTGGTCACGTGTCTTCCCATGTTGACGATACCTTGACTTGGATTACAATTTCTATTGGGGAGCACAAAATCTCTCTGAAAAGGTTGCCCGAAGCTTCCAATTCCATGACAACTTTTTCTGTTGTTTGGTTTGAAAAGTACAAGGTTTCAAGTTTCAAGATATTGATTTGATTCTGTGTCCCTCAAATGTCATAAAGCGTTGCATATGCGTATGCTTAAGATGGAGTAAAAGACAAGACAAGACAAGGAAAGGCTTTTATTAATTATAGTGCAGAGGACAAAAACTAAACAAAAAGGTATGGAATGTTGTAGGATTGGATTCTAAGTACTTGCCTGTTTGTCTTCCATTGGAAATTGACTGAAAGCAGCAGCCACTGACACGTCAGACAGTTTGTGATCTTCCTCGTCCCTCTTAGTAACTAACTTAACTAACCTGGTGTCCACCCTGTCTGCGTCAGAATCTGATCCATTCATGATTGGAAAGTGATGTGAAAACTGAGAAAATCCTAAACAAGGAGAAAAAGACCCACCAAAGTATTTTTTTCAAATTTTTTGTTTGTTTTGTTTTTCATAAAATGATGATAAAAAAAACCTGTGGGGTTACTTGGTTTTGGTTCGGCATGCATATTTACGAGGAAGCTTGGATTTGGTGGGCTTCGGTGCTTTGTACGGTACAGGGAGATCACTGTTGACTGCTGACAACAACATCGATTTGGTGGTTTTTTTGTTTTCTGAAAAGGCAAGCACTTCCCTGTAATTTTACCATCATCTCCACAAATCTCCACGTGGGTTTAGGACTTTTTGCCAACTGGAATGTGGGACCCGAATCACCATGGATCCACCAAATATTTCTTAGGAATGTTTGGGATAATTCCTTCTGGCGGTGTACTATATATTTATGTGGTCCTTGGTCCTTGGTCCTTGACCAGTATTTTTATTGTTACATAAAAAGGCTTTGTTGGTCCAATAAATAAAAAGAAAAATTACTCGAAATTAGTTTTCCTTTTTCAACATAGGAATTCTGTTGTCCTAGCTTGGCTAGGAATTCCTTGTTTTGTAGGAAAAAAGAAAACCCTATGAGACTAGGATTACTTTTCACATCCCACGTTATAAAACCTACCATTCACCCCATTAGAACAACAATACACACAAATCTCAAACAAGACTTCAAGAAAAGCCATTAGAAGCATAACACAATATACACAAATCTCACACAAGACTTCAACAAAAGCTATAACCTCTCTCTCTCTCCCCCTCTCAACCATGCAAAAGACCAAGCGAAAGGAGGATTGGGATAAGGGGTTTTGCAACGATAATGGGTTTTGTTCCGACTGCAAGGCATACACAGACGTTGTGCTCGACCACCGGTCAGGTGACACAATCTGCACCCAATGCGGCCTGGTTCTTGAAGACCACGCTGTGGATTTCACCGCCGAGTGGCGAAACTTTGATGATCAAGACTCTACCAACGATCCGTCACGCGTCGGCGCTCGCTCTGATCCTTTACTGGACAATGGTGTTCTTACCGTTAACATCTCCAACGACAAGAAGAAGGCTGTTTCTTGTGTTCTTCCTCGGCTCCACAAGACTCTCCGAAACCCAGACAAGTCTCTCCACGTTGCTTTTGAGACCCTTGGTATGATGGCCGACCGGCTAGCCCTAGTTACAGCGATACGAGATCATGCCAAAGAGCTGTACAAGAAGGCCGACGATCGCAAGTTTTGTAGGGGAAGAAACTGTGATGCTATAATGGCTGCCTGCCTCTTTCTTGCTTGCCAAGAAAAGGGTCTTCCCCGAACTCTAAAGGAAATCGCGATGGTTGCCAACGGTGCCACAAGAAAAGAAATCAACAGAATGAAAGAGCTCTTGAAGAAAATACTAGAGGTTGATTCGAAGACTACGAATGTTGGGGATCTTTCGCGGCGGTGCTGCTCCATGATTGGTATGGCTAATCAAGATATGAAGGCTGTGTTGGAAACTCTGAACAAGTCGAAAGAGGTTGATGTAAGGAGAAGCCCTAAGTCTGTTTTGGCAGCGGTTATGTACATGATAGCGCAGCTCTCCAATGACAAGTCAACTCGGGATTTAACTCTTCATGGTACATAACTCAAACTAATTAATCTCTCCAATTTTCATACATATCCTGTTTAATTTTTGACAATTTGGTTAATTTTCATGCATATTTTGTTTAATTTGGTTTCAATGATTTCTGTAATCTCTTAATTAATAAGCATATATATATAATTAATTTAGAGTGGTGATTTCCCCACTCCTTTTTCTCCTATTTTATTTACTTACACTCCTTTTTTATAACTAAAAAAGGAGTGTAAGTGGATAAAATAGAAGTGGGGAAATCATTGCCCTTAATTTAAATCCAATTAATTTATTAGTTCCAAATTAATGTCGTGTCATGTTTTTAATTTGGTAATCTTGAAGCATTAAGAGGAATTTTTATTGATCATATTGCAACATTTTAATTTGAAATTTTGATATTTGTATGCATGGATTTTAACACAGCTGTGTGTGGATATTGCAGATGTCTCACAAGCAGCTGATGTTGCGGTAGCGACAACTAAGAAGGCATACAAAGATCTATATCCCTACGTTTCAAGGATAATACCCAATTGGTTTGTCAAGTTGGAGGACCTCAAGATACTTTGCCTCCCTTGAAGTTGTCAGAGCCAAGTATCTAATGTAGACGAATTTCTGATGTAGGATGTTGTGTACAACATTATGTCGATAAACATGATCACTCACTAGATTGGACCTTTTGTCCAACTGATCTCAAAAGATTGTAGTTGGACCTTTCGTTCACTTGACCATTGTAGAATTTCGTTGTAGAATAATTCGTAGAAATAAGGTGTTTATATATAATAATGATTGAGACCTGCGTCATGATAAATAACACGAAGTGAAGCTCTGAAACTCTGGTCTTTTGTACAAATTTAATATGCATAAAGCATCCACAGAACTTATTTAATTTGGAAAATGTTTACTATCTCAATTTTTCTTCTTCCATATTTTCCTTTCCAATAATAATGTATTGATGGGAGAAAGTAAACAAGTAAAAAAATCAGATTATGTTCTAGAGGATTAGGCGAGCAATTTCTATACATAAGGGTTCTGTCTGTCGTTCTAAGGGACGGCCTGCTTGGTCATGCCATCTCGAAGAGGTCATTTTCTGTTGATCCAATTTTGGGCATCAACAATAAGTATTTTCAACTTTAAGCATTTCATCACAGTAAATGGATTAGTTTGTTCTGGAGTCCTTGGTCCATGAGCTTGGGCCCGGTGCAAATACTAATTTAGTCCAACAAGTTGTTGAGTTCTGTTATTGTCTTTTCTTTAATAGTCATTCAATTAAAGCAAGAGAGCCCAATCACAATCATGGATGGAATATGCAGAACCAAAGGTTCAAAGGGTAATTTTGCAAGACTTCCGAGACAAGGCCTTACTAGGAAAGTCACCGAAGCTCAAGCAACTGTAGCAGCACACTTGTAGCGTTTCAGTCTTTTGGGTAAATACTTCTATGAGGGGTTTGTTTGTTGGTTCGGTCAATACTTCTACGAGGGGTTTTTTTTTTTTTTTTTTTTTTTTTGGGGGTCAGTACTTCTACGAGGGTTTGTTTGTTGGTATTTTAGATGGGGGGGGTCAAACAGGGGCGGATCCACTAAGGGACCCATGCCTTTTATTAAATAAAATTTTTGTATTCTCTTATTTTTATGTTAATCCTCTCTTATTTTTTATGGTTTTCTCTCAAGTTATGGCTTGTTTGAGTTGTGAAATTTTGATTTATTCTCTCTATTGGGTTTAATAAATCTTCCAATATTATGTGTGGATTATCAAAAGAAAAAAGTTGTACAGATTTTTTTATATATGCAATACATAATATTTTGGTAATTTTGGTTACTTTGGTATGCATTGTGACTTCAAACATATTTATATATATATATAAATTACTTCTTCATATAATCACTTCAAGTGGTTTTAAGTTATTTTAAGAAGAAGCATATGAGAGGTGCTTCTCCCTAGAATCACTTTTAAATGATTATATGGAGAAGCATATTGGATGTGTTTATCCACCATAAGTCGTTGGTGTTTTTGTTTTATGAAAAAGCATTTCCCTGTCATTTTACAATTTCCATGTGGGTTTAGGACCTTTTGCCAAGTGGAATGTGGGACCCGAATCACCATGGCCTGGAAGTCCATTTTGCCGATTGTAATAACTTGGCCAGGAAGTCCTTGTTTTTGTAGCAAGGCTTATAGAAAAACGTATCTTTCAACCCATTTGAAGCACAATATATACAAATCTCAAACAAGACTTCAACAAAAGCTATAGCGTCTCTCTCTCTCTCTCTCTCTCTACCATGGAAAACGACAGTGGGTTTTGTTCAGACTGCAAGGCATACACAGACGTTGTACTCGACCACCGGTCCGGTGACACAATCTGCACCGAATGCGGACTGGTTCTTGAAGAACGCGCTCGCTCCGACCCTATAACGGACAATGGTGTTCTTACCGTTAACGTTTCGAACGACAACAAGAAGGCTGTTTCTTGTGCTCTTCCTCGGCTCCACAAGACTCTCCGAAACCCAGACAAGTCTCTCCACATTGCTTTTGAGTCCCTTGGTGTGATGGCCGACCGGCTAGCACTCGTTGCCACGATACGAGACCATGCCAAAGAGGTGTACAAGAAGGCCGACAATCGCAAGTTTTGTCGGGGAAGAAACTGTGATGCTATAATGGCTGCATGCCTCTTTCTTGCTTGCCAAGAAAAGGGTTTTCCCCGAACTCTAAAGGAAATCGCGACGGTTGCCAATGGTGCCTCAAGAAAAGAAATCAACAGAATGAAAGAGCTCTTGAAGAAAGTACTAGAAGTTGATTCGAAGACTACAAATGTCGGGGATCTTTCACGGCGGTGCTGCTCCAGGATTGGTATGGCGAATCAAGATATGAAGGCTGTGTTGGAAACTCTGAACAAGTCGGAAGAGGTTGATGTAAGGAGAAGCCCTCAGTCTGCTTTGGCAGCGGTTATGTACATGATAGCTCAGCTCTCCAATGACAAGTCAACTCGAGATTTGACTCTTCAAGGTACGTAAGTCAAACTAATTAATTAATCTCTCGAATTTTAATTTCATGCATGTTTTGTCTAATTTGATTTCAATTATTTATTTAATCTTCTTAATTAAGAAGCACATAATTAATTTAAAGCCAGTTTATTACTTAATTAATGTTGTGTCATGTTTTTTAATTTGGTAATCTTAAAGCATTCAAGAGGGGGCTTATTGATCATATATATTGCAACATTTTAATTTGCAATTTTGATGCTTGATTTGTATGCATGGAGCTGTGTGTGATATTGCAGATGTCTCACAAGCAGCTGATGTTGCGGTAGCGACAACTGAGAAGGCATACAAAGATCTATATCCCTATGCTTCAAGGATAATACCCAACTGGTTTGTCAAGTTGGAGGACCTCAAGAAACTTTGCGTCCCTTGAAGGTGTTAAAGCCAAAAACGATATAACATTGAAGCTGGCCGTTGACATTGACAAGAGTTTCCTAATTGAATTGCAACAAGTAGTTTTTATGGATACGAGTCTAGGGGGATTGGGGGGTGCTCTATGAGAGGCAAAAGGTTCCCTTTCTTGCTTTGTGAGGGTAGACTACTTGGTTAGTCCGATGACCGAACCCTTATGTGTAGAGATTGCTCGGCTAATCCTCTAGAACATAATCTGATTTTTGCACTTGTTTACTTTCTCCCATCAAAAAATTAATCTTGGTTACTAAAATATGGAAGAAAAAAGTTGAGATATTAAGCATTTTCCAAATTAAATAAGTAATAACAAATTCTGTGGATGCTTAATACATATTAAATTTGTACAAACGACCAGATTTTAGGAAAGCTGGGCCCAAGCCCATTTCACAAAAGACCAGCGCTCAAAACCGCTATGGTCCAACAAGAATTCTACAGTGAGATATGGTCGAAAGGTAGGGAAATGAAATCATAGCCCTGCAAGTTGCCAATTTGCAATAATTCCATGAGCATGATTTTTTATTTGATATTCTATTTTAAACAAAAAATAAAACCAATAAATCCATACAGCAGAGAGAAAGGACAAATAATCAACAATTTATTGGCTCAATCCAAAAATAATAATAACAATCAAACAATTTAAAAGACTATGAAGACAATGCCTTGACCTATTGACTCTTAGCATAAAAGTGAGTCAATGGCACACACAAGAGATTGAAAACTATAGCAAAAGAAAGAAAGAAAGAAAGAAAGAAAGAAAGAAAGAAAGAAAGAAAGAAATGGTCAAGCCACATGTTTTGGTGATACCGTATCCTGCACAACACAAGGGCATGTAATTCCTTTGATGGAGCTTTCAAGATGCCTAGCCAAACATGGCATCAAGGTCACATTTGTAAATACAGAGCATATTCACATGCAAATGCAAAATGCATTGGCAATGGAGGATGATGAAATTGGGAGTAAAGTTCATCTTGTATTTACTACTGATGGGCTAGAATCATTGGAAGATAGGAAAAAACCAGGGAAGCTTTCTGAAGTAATCATGCAGGTTATGCCCCGAACATTCGTGGAGCTTGTTGAACGGATTGTTGGATCAAATGGGGATAAAATATCTTGTGGTTGGAATTCCACCATGGAAGGTGTAAGCTATGGGGTGCCTTTCTTGTGCTGGCCTTACTAATTTGCTGACCAGTTTCTCAATCAAAACTTCATATGTGACATTTGGAAGGTTAGTTTGGTGTTTGATCCAGATAGGAGTGGGTTCATTACCCACAGAGAAATCACAAACAAGGTGGGGCAGCTGCTAGGAAACAGTAATTTTAAAGCAAGGGAATTGGATATCAAGAAAATGGTTATGAATGGTATCAAATAAGGTGGTGCTCATACAAAAGTTTCAATAGTTTTGTTCAATGCATGAAAGAATAGGTAAGTTCTTCAAGCATTGTTTAAAATTTAAATTTACTTCTTGGAAGGAGTTGAGGTCAAGCTGGTGTAAACTACAAAAACAGAAACCAAAGCCCAGTTTCCATATTTAACATCTTCAATACTTCCACAAAGAATAAAAGGTAGTTCCAGCAATTTTAGAACAAAAATATAAAACAATAGAGTGAAGAAACTAAAGTCATTGACTGAAAGGATCAACGAAACAACATTATAGGGGTTGTTTGATAACCTTTTCATTTTCATTTTTTTGGAAAACTGAAAACATGTTTGGTAACAGATTTCGTTTTTAGTTTTCAAAACAACTTGAAAGTGTTTCGAGGTTTTAGTTTCATTTTTTTGCACTCCTATTTCATTGATTAATTTCACATCACCACACATAAAATGCACTTTGAGTTACCAAAACTCAGTATTTGGGACCTCTAGACTTGGGCCGGCTGCTCGATTCTTGAGTTTGCCCACAAACCCAGTCCAAACCTTGGGAATTCCATATCAAAAATTCACAAACAAAAAAAAAATCACTTAAAAATACTTTGAATTTGTTGTAACATTCATTTTCATTCTATGATCTTAAATTTACAATTTGACCCAAAAAAAAAAAAATAGTTACAAAACAACTTTTGTTCAGTTGTCAGTTTTGTCTTTTTTTGAAAACTGAAATTTGTTACCAAAAAAGCAATCAACTATGAAATATAAACAAAAGAGACAAAATGGTTGATTCCCCAACTTTGTATACAATGCCAATGAAGACAACACCTAAGTAATGGCTCCTAAGATGCTCCAAGCTCCTTCTATATATATGATATGATTCAGAAACCACATTCGAAAACATCTTAAAGTGGAAAAGGAAAAAATGAAGACATGTGAGATAGTTTGTGAAATGGTTTGGATTAAGTCTTTGCTGAAGGAAGTTGAGGTTCCACCTCAAAATCAATTGGCAATGGGGGGAGTAACTCAATTCCTTATAAGTCATAATTAGGTTTCTCAACTTTCCAACGTGGGACATTTTCACGTTCACATTCTCACATGTCATCGCACAATAATTTAAAAGTATAGCCGCGCTGCAATACTCTATAAATAGAATATTTTAAAAGTACACTCGTGCAGCTACACCCTTTAAATAGCATAATCTTGATTTTTTTTTATTACTTTATTTAATAGTTATGTTTTAATTATTATTTACTTAGTGAATACTTAATACTTAATTTTTTTTATTAAATAAAATAATTACCATTTATTAAGTAATATAATTTATGAAGTGAATTAAAATATTTAATTATTCACTAAAGAAATAACAATTAAAACATAATTACTAATGAAAGTATTTAAATAAGAGTACCTCCTTGCGGCTATATTTTTGGATTTAAAGAGTATAGCCGTGCAGGGGTACTCTATAAATAGAATATTTTAGCAGTATAGCCGCAAGGCTATACTATTTAAATAGAATAATTTAAAAGTATAGCCGCGCGGTGATACTCTATAAAATACAATATTTTATACAGATAGCCATACGGCTATGCCCTTTAAATAGCATAATCTTGATTTCTCTTTTTTAATTACTTTATTTAGTAGTTATGTTTTAATTATTATTTACTTAGTGAATACTTAGTATTTAAATATTTTATTAAATAAAATAATTACCATTTATTAAATAATATAGGCAAAATTGTAGCAATGGTCCCACAAATAAGACGTAACTTTACTTTTCTTCTCTCATGTCTCAAAATTGTTACAGCGGTGTTTCAATTAGATCACATATTGCATCATTGGTCTTTCCGTGAACCGAGTTAAATTTTATGTCAAAATTAAGGGCAAATTGGGAAATTCATATAACCAAGCTGATGTTGTCACCGACCATCAAGCCATGGTTTGTAAATTCCTAAACCCAATCCCTAAACCCAAAATCCAAAATAAGTTAGTTGTAAATTCCTAATTAAGCTCACCCAACAAACATCATCATTTTCAGGGGATTCTTCTTGAATTGATTCTTCCTACAGAACCCAGCCAAAGTAGAAAAAGAAGAAGCTGAGAAAAAGAGAAATAAGAAAAAACCCTGATGCCAAAAACAACCAGGAGACAGACCAAATTCCACTTCCTGAGATTCCATCATTGTTGTTGATCTCAAAGCAAAAAGAAAATGCAAGCAAAGGCAACGAAATGGAAAGGGTTCTCTCTTTTCCTATTAATCCAATTCGATCTTAGCGTCTCCAAGTTCAGAAGTGAGAGGGCAGGAAAGATCTAGTGATTCTCAACTAGTAGCCCCTTATTTTCAGCCTTGAACTACCTTCCCATGGAAAAGAAGAAGAAAAAAAAAAACGCATTTAATCAAGGGACCGTTGCTATAATTTTGCCAATAATATAATTTAAGAAGTTAATTAAAATATTTAATTATTCACTAAATAAATAATAATTAAAATATAATTACTAATGAAAGTATTTAAATAAGGCTAAGATATTGTTTTATTAATAAAAATAAAATTTCAAAAAACTATTTTTAGTGTAACGCCGCGCGGCTATACTTTTATATTTAAAGAATATCGCCGTGTATTTAGGCGCTATACTCTAGAAATAGAGTTTTAAATGTATAGCCGGACGGCTTTACGCTTTAAATAGCATGATTTCTCTTTTTAATTATTTTATTTTAATTATTATTTACTTAGTGAATACTTAGTATTTAAATATTTCATTAAATAAAATAATTACCATTTATTGCTTGCTGTAGTAGTTCTTCTAAGCTTTTTATTTGATCTTTTCATATGCAGCCTTGGATTTTTCAGTTGTTGTAATCTTTCTCTAATCCTAATAGGCGTCCACTAAGGTCCAAACATGCAAAACGAGAGGTTGATTTTTCTTAGTATTAACTATTAGCTTCACTCCTCAAGCTACTTAACAATATTAAACAAAGATAGTTATGGCTCTAATACCAATGTGGTTTTTGGTGTGAACGTGGTGTAAGCCCAGGTAAAGAAACTGTATTGCTCAAAGAGTGCACTGAGATGTCTTCTTCTCAACCGTCCTTACATTACATAATGCAGGGTTTTACATATTTGTATGGTCGAGAAGACACTAGAATTACATGAAATGCTCTTCTGAAAATACTACGTACCGACATGGGCATAAATGGAAAATTATGTAGGAATCTAAATTATTGAGTTGCTGATAAAAATTTTGAAGTACTGATATCCAAAGTACTACGGAAAAAGCTTTTGCTGGAACTTTTATCTTTTTCTTTCTTCCCCTTGTGCCCCTCTCCCAATTATGTGGCTTTGCTGCACTTTTCCAATCAAAAGGTACCAAAACTACAAGAGGTGTGAGGGAAATGAAAGCCCACACTGACGCAAGGTTCACGCGTACAACCACACAATTTGGATATTGATTCACTATTGAGAAATACAATTACAATTTCCTTTATGGATTCAAATAAGACCAGTGCTCCAAAGCTCCTTTTATATATGATACGATTCAGAAACCACATTCGAAAACATCTTAAAGTGGAAAAAGGAAAAATCAAGAACAAAAATGAGCAACCCACATATATTAGCTGTTCCTTTGCCAGCACAAGGTCATGTGATTCCCTTGATGGAGCTGTCACAATGCTTAGTTAACCATGGCTTCACAGTCACATTTGTGAACACAGACTACAACCACAAGCGAGTCGTGAATGCCTTGGCTGCTGATGAAAGTCAGTTATCGGATCGTATTCGCCTAGTTTCACTTCCGGATGGCTTAGAGCCCTGGGAAGCCAGGCATGAGGTAGGAAAGTTTTGTGAAGCAACGCAAAGAGTCATGCCTGGGAAGTTGGAGGAGCTGATAGAGAAGATCAACCAAGGGGAAGGTGACAAAGTCACTTGTGTCATTGCTGATGAGAGTGCCAGGTGGGCTCTGGAAGTGGCAGAGAAACTGAATATCAGGCGAGTTGCCTTCTTCCCTGCATCAGCTGCAAGTTTGGCTTTGCAATTCTCTATCCCAAAGTTAATTCATCAAGGAATCATCAACGACGATGGTAAGATCCTCTATCATGCAAATACTATGCAACACTCTTATGTAGTATTGGTTGAAGAATATGAAATCCCACATGGGAAACTTGACAAAATCTAATACACTATACAATGAATAGTTACACTACTAAATACTAATAGAATTGAGGGCTTTTGTATAAAACCCCACACCTGCCGAATATCATAGTTAAGTTGGGGACAATATCGATGTTGGTAGTAGTGGGCGAAATTTAACAGTATTTTAGTTCAACAAGTTCTTGAGTTCTGTTATTGTCCTTTCTTTTCATAGTCATTCACTTTTGGCAGGAACTGTTTCAAGAAGCCAGATGATTCAGTTGGCACCGGACATGCCCACCATGAAAACTACAGAATTTCTATGGGCATGCATGGGTGACTTGACCGAGCAGAAGATAGTATTTCAACTTATGGTAAGAAATAACAAGGCTGCGAAATTGGCAGAGTGGATTGTTTGCAACTCAGCATACGAACTCGAGCCAGCAGCATTCACCATGGCACCAGAGATTTTACCAATAGGCCCGCTTCTGGCAAGCAGCCGGCTTGGAAACTCAGCATGCTACTTCTGGCCACAAGACTCAACTTGCTTACAGTGGCTGGATCAACAGCCACCATGCTCAGTCATCTATGTTGCATTTGGCAGCACCACAGTTTTTGATCAAACACAATTCCAAGAACTGGCTCTGGCTCTTGAGCTGTCCCAAAGGTCATTCCTCTGGGTTGTGAGGCCAGATATCACTGACAAAACATCTGATCCCTACCCAGAAGGATATCAAGACCGTGTGGCCTCTTGCGGTCTGATGGTTGGTTGGGCACCTCAACAAAAGGTTCTAGCTCATCCTTCCATTGCTTGCTTCTTAAGCCACTGTGGTTGGAACTCTACAATAGAAGGTCTAAGCAATGGAGTTCCTTTCTTGTGCTGGCCATACTTTTGTGACCAGTTCCTTAATGAGAGCTACATTTGTGATGTCTGGAAGGTTGGGTTGAAGTTGAAAAAGAATGAAAATGGGATCATACCACAAGGAGAAATCAAGAGCAAGGTGGAACAACTGCTTGGTGATGAAAACTTCAAAGCAAGAGCTTCCAAACTGAAGGAAATGGGCATGACAAGTGTCCAAGAAGGTGGCCAATCTCACAGGATCTTTAAGAACATTATTGAATGGATGAAGACATAGGCAAGTCACCTATCTTTTTCTTTGGAATTAAAAAAAAGTTAAAAAGGAAACACAGGACATGTGCCACTGTTCAAGTATCAGTAATGTAAGACCAAGACCTCAGCTGATGTACTGATGCAATAATTAAAAGAAAAGGAAAAAAAAACATCGGGAAACTTTCAAGCTTTTTTTTACTGCAGTGTAAAATTTTCTATTTTCAGTTTATATAATATGCCCTAAAACGTAGCCCCAAGGTTTGAAAAAGTTTTATTCACTGTTTTGCATGTTTGGACAACATTTCTTGATAACCGAATTTCGATTCTTGAAGTTATATTAGGGTTTCAAACGTATGAGAAGTTTGAGAATGGCCAAGAGATCATCTTTGAGTAGCATGATGTTGAAGAAACCTATTAGCCAAGATGAAAAGCCCCAGAAGGTTGTCCGACTGATACATTGACCAGCTCATGAGGGAAAGGATGATTTTGATCACAATTGTCGCTGAAGGAATAAAATCATTGAATTAAGTGGAGCTGAGTCGCAGAAACTGCAAATTAGTCTACAGAAATTGCACTAGCAAGATTTGAATGAAGAAACTACTTAGTAATGGATATGGCGACAGCAGTCGGTTGTAGTAGTTTAGTAAGGGGAACCAAAAAGAAGAACTCCAATCTCCAGAGTTGCAACAGTGGCATGAGAGAAACAAAGTAAACATAATGCCCATTGAAAGGCAAGAAGTGAAGGAGCGCATGGGCTCATAGAAGGAAGGAATAAAATGACGGGCTGACATACAAGTCAAATGGACCTAGAAAACAACTTTAGGCACCTGAGAAACATAACTCTACCTAGGAATCAAGTGGGTTAAAGAGCATGCTGTAAGTGAGAAAAGAAGTAGCCATGTAGAAAAATAAAAGTTGCCCAAAAAATATATATATATTTTTAAAAGTTACACCCATAGGAAGAGAGGAAGTAGAAACAAAAGAAAATTCATCACATGGTAAGCAAAAAGGGATGCGTGCAGAGAGAGCAGAAGGAATATTTGAAGGGAATATGAGGTTAAGAGAGGGTGCAGCATAGCAGTAGAGGATAGAAGATGAAACCAACTTGAGAAAAGAAAAAGAGCTCATGGGCAAGTTTAAATCTCAAAGCACCATAGAAACAATAAAATAAGGTATGGGGAAGAAAACCACATGGGAACAGAGAAGTAATAAAGAAAAGATCATCACAAGAGCATATAGAGATTAAAATAAAGAGGGATTATTGACCCAAAAACAATAATAAGAAATAAAGAAGGAAACCAAGTGAGACAGAGAAATGAAAAGAGAATGTGGGCAAAACACATAGAGAGAAAATCCTTTCAAAATAAAGATGGAAAAAGAAGAGAAAAAGAGGAGAAAAGTAAACACCCATCAAAAGGAGAAAGTAGTCAAGAGAGGGAGAGAGAACAAAAGATGCGAAGGAGCGCATGGGCTCATGGAAGGAAGGAAACTCAAGATGCCAGAGACAACCCATGATGGGGAGAGAGAAAACACAATTGAAAATAAGAGAAGAAAATATCCTAGTAATATAAAAGAACTATAAAGAAAAGAAGACAATACCAATAACAGAGAAGAAGAAAGGTAGCGCAAAAGGGCAATGAAGAAGACAGAGACCAGTAGTAAAATCAAAGAAAGAGATTGGGCTTAAGATGGGAGGAGAACACCAGTTGAGTAGAGATAGAGCATGAGAGGCCGATACCAAAGCAGCAACACAGAGATACCAAGTTGGCAACACAATAATAGGGCTTAAGTGACCGATACCAAGTCGGCAACACAAAGGAAGAAACAAGGGCTATGCAAAGGGAATAGTGGCAGTGTAGCACGACAGAGAAGGCTCGACGAGCGTTGACGAGGCTCGCGGAGGAAAAAGAGACGGCTAGGTGAACAATGACGGCCAACATCAACAAATAAGAGGAAAAATATGGAAACCATGATAGAGAAACCATCATAAAAACATGGGAGAGAGAAACCACGATCATAGACTAGGATAAGGCTCGGCGAGCTTGATGAGGCTCGCAGAGGGAAGAAAGACAGCTCGGCAAGAGAGACGGCACGACGGAGACAAAGAAGTGGATAGAGATTTCAAGAGAAAGAGGGAAACAATGATAGAGAGGTGTGGTCTTTGAAGGAAAACAGAGATCTGGCTATGATGTCAAGAGACGGACTTGGATAAGGAGTAAGACTAGGTATCTGAGGAGTGGAAGAGGCACTGAGCTGTGGAAGAGATAAAAAAAAATATTCATCTTTGAGAAGAGGAGAGGAAAAAGGACTATACAGAAACAAACACCTTTATTGGTGAGGAGCGCCAACGACTCTCAATGTTGGCAATTGGAGTATCGCTAATTGGCGTTAGCCATTAGCTTTGATACCATGTAGAAACTGATTTTCCCTTATATTATTCATATGATCATTATACAATATATATATATATATACAAGTCTGTAGAGAATAATCTACAGTTACAGCAAGTCATTATCATAAACATAAATATGGAGTTATGGCCTAATAACAATGTAATTGACAACTTACCATTTCTCATCATTAGTATAATTAACTATTGTAACTGAAATACTATTGTAACTCCCTAGTACACTCCAAGATCTTGTTATCCATAGACTATAAGACATGATACACAAACCAAGAATAAATACACACACTCCAAGAGTGATAAAGCAAACACACCAAAAACACAAGATTTATAGAGGTTCGGTAACGTGCCTGCATCGTGTCAGCTGTCTACTTTCTGGCTCTACAATAAAGAGCCCTCAACTCCAAGGAGGGACACGCCCAGCTCAAATACAGCAAACCCACCCAAGCTCACCAAGAGCAAACCGCATTGTTCCTAAGCAAGAGCTCCAGCAAGCTCTCCTATTTTCACCTCAAGCTGCTCCCAGCTAAACAAAGGCTATCAAGCCCTCAATTGTAAAACCCTCTCGTAAATACAAACAAATACAAACAGTGGACGTAGCCCAATTTTAAGGGTGAGCCACTCAAATCCTTGTCTTATATGCGTGTGATTGTGATTTTACTGTCGTATGGTATTTTTCTTGTGACAGCTCGTCATTTTTTTGCTTTGAATTTCTTCCATTTTCGTTTGTTCTTGGTGCGATTTGTTTCGATCTTGGCGATGTCTTCGTATTAGAAGAGGTATGAACTGTAGGCTTTGTTTCACTTTTAGTACAGGTAGGTAAGTATGTTATCATTACGTATCAGTATGATTTTTGAAGTTAATGGAAATTATGAAATTTTCTCATCAATGCATATGCCTTTTTTGACTTTGTTTAATTACTTGTTTTCATGATGGCTTTGCCTTTTGGTTTGTTGATTTATTACGGTCGTTGCAGTGCAATTTGTTTTTGTTCAGGTATAATTTGTTAAGCATGTATCATGATTGAATTTGAGTAAAAAATTTGGTGAAGTATATGTATTGAAATTTATAAAATTCTCTCTATATTTTAAGTTGATTTGTTGAGCATATGTCATCATGGATGTGCTTTTTAGAGTTCTTTGCTCATTATTGTTGTTGCGGCTTGATTAGAAACTTGGTGTATGTTTGGTTGCTTGACAATTTTGTTTGTTGGTTGCTTTACAAACTGTGACAAAATTGGAACATGTTAAAACCATGACAAACTTCAATTATACTTTTCTTTGCAGGAACTCCCATAAAGAAACAAGTAATTAAGTTATTATCACCAGATATGCCTGGCATGAACACAGCAAACTTGGTGTGGGCATGCCTTGGCAGCGAGGCTTTGCAGAAAAATGTGTTTGAACTTATGGTTAGAATTAAACAACCAATCAATGAAATAAGCAGACCTTGGGCCTGCAGCATCTACCATGGCCCCAGAGATTCCACCAGGGCCCAAAAGTGGAAACTTGTGGCCAGGAGACTCTTGTTTGAACTGGCTTGACCAACAACCACCACAAACAGTCATATATGTTGCTTTTGGTAGTTTCACAGTTTTTGATCCAAAACAGTTCAAAGAACTGGCCCTGGGGCTTCAACTCTTTACTTTGCTGATCAATTTCTCAATCAAAGCTACATTTGTGATATTTGGAAGGTTGGTTTGGTCTTTGATCGAGATGTGAGTAGGATCATTACCCACAGAGAAATCATAAAATAAGGTGGAGCAGCTGCTAGGAAACAGTAATTTTAAAGCAGGGGCGTTGGATATCAAGAAAATGGTTATGAATAGTATCAAAGAAGGTGGTGGCTCATACAAAAGTTTCAGTAGTTTTATTGAGTGGATGAAAAGATCGGTAAGCTCTTCAAGCATTGGATCAAACGTAAATTTACTTCTTGGAAGGAGTTGGGGTCAAGCTGGTGTAAACTACAAATACAGAAACCAAAACCCCAGTTGCCATTTTAACATCTTCAATACTTCCACAAAGAATGAAAGGTAGTTCCATCAATTATAGAACAAAGTATAAAACAATAGAGTGAAGAAACTAAAGCCATTCACTGAAAGGATCAGCAAAACAACATCATAGTAAACCAAAAAAGAAATGAACTATGAAATCTAAACAAAAGAGACAAAATGGTTGATTCCCCAACTTTGGATTCAAATGAGAACAATGCTAATGAAGACAACACCTAAGTAATGGCGCCTAAACCGATGCAATCTCCTTCTATATATGATACGATTCAGAAACCACATTCGAAAACATCTTTAAGCGAAAAAGGAAAATTCAAGAACAAAAATGAGCAACACACATATAATAGCTGTTCCTTTTCCAGCACAAGGTCATGTGATTCCCTTGATGGAGCTGTCACAATGCTTAGTTAACCATGGCTTCACAGTCACATTTGTGAACACAGACTACAATCACAAGCGAGTCGTGAATGCCTTGGCTGATGAAAGTCATTTCACGGATCGTATTCATCTAGTTTCACTTCCAGATGGCTTAGAGCCCTGGGAGGACAGGAATGAGCTAGGACAGTTATGTGAAGCAATACAAAGAGTCATGCCCGGGAAGTTAGAGGAGCTAATAGAGAAGATCAATGAAGGGAAAGGTGACAAAGTCACTTGTGTCATTGCTGATGAGAGTTCCGGGTGGGCTCTGGAAGTGGCAGAGAAACTGAATATCAGGAGAGTTGCCTTCTGGCCTGCAGCAGCTGCGCTTTTGGCTTTGCAATTTTCTATCCCAAAGTTAATTCATGAAGGAATCATTAACGACGATGGTACAATCCTTTTTCATGTGAATATTATGGAACACTATCATGTAATATTTTGTCCAACAAGTTCTTGAATTCTGTTATTGTCTTTTCTTTTCATAGTCATTCACTTTTGGCAGGAACTGTCCCAAGAAGCCAGATAATGCAGTTAGCACCAAACATGCCCACCATGAAAACCGCAGACTTTGTGTGGGCATGCATTGGTGACTTAACCACTCAGAAAATAGTATTTCAAGTTATGGTAAGAAACAACAAGACTGTGAAATTGGCAGAGTGGATTGTTTGCAACTCAGCATATGAACTTGAGCCAGCAGCATTTGCCATGGCACCAGAGATGTTACCAATAGGCCCACTTTTGGCAAGCAGCCGGCTTGGAAATTCAGCAGGCTACTTTTGGCCACAAGACACAACTTCCTTACAGTGGTTGGATCAACAACCAGCCTGCTCAGTCATCTATGTTGCATTTGGCAGCTTCACAGTTTTTGATCGAACCCAATTCCAAGAACTGGCTCTGGCTCTTGAGCTGTCCCAAAGGCCATTTCTCTGGGTTGTGAGGCCAGATATCACTGACAAAACATCTGATCCCTACCCAGAAGGATATCAAGACCGAGTAGCCTCTCGCGGTCTGATGGTGGGTTGGGCACCTCAACAAAAGGTTCTGGCTCATCCTTCCATTGCTTGCTTCTTAAGCCACTGTGGTTGGAACTCTACCGTGGAAGGTGTAAGCAATGGGGTTCCTTTCTTGTGCTGGCCATACTTTGCTGACCAGTTCCTTAATGAGAGCTACATTTGTGATGTCTGGAAGGTGGGATTGAAGTTCAACAAGAATGAAAGTGGGATCATACCACAAGGAGAAATCAACAAGAAGGTGGAACAACTTCTTGGTGATGAAAATTTCAAAGCAAGAGCTTCCAAACTGAAGGAAATGGCCACGACCAATACCAAAGAAGGCGGCCAATCTCACAGGATCTTTAAGAACTTTATTGAATGGATGAAGGCATAGGCAAGTCGCCTATCCTTTTCATTCGATATGAACAAAAGGAAAAAGGCAACACAGAAAATGTGCCAATAGATCTGGTTCAAGTATTAATAATATAAGACCAATACCTCAGCTGATGTACTAATGCAATAATTAATAGAAAAGATAAAAGCATAGGGAAACTTTCAAGCTTTTTTTTCTGTCCTTGTTGTCTCTTGTGTGCATGTGTTTGCGCTTCCCTTCTCTTCCCTGAAAAAAAAATTAGGAGGAGAAGCAACACCAGACACCAAAAGGCATCATTTTCTGGTCAACCATATTACTGCTTTGAAATTCAGACCAAAATATATATATATATATATATATATATAAATTTTACTTTTGTGAAATGAGACCCCAAGGTTTAAAAACATATTATTCACAGAGAATTAAACACCAAGTCTAACCTAGCACCTAGCAGGAAAGAATTATACTCAATTGCTCAAAGGCCTTAGGTTGTACATATCTTCCTAGCACCACTCACTAACTAGGTATTCTCTCCATGTCAAGTTTAAAGATGACTGCACCATATGATTTGTCAGATTATATATGTTTCTATTAGATTGACCATTTCAGCATCTCAACATCATCAAACTTTTGATACCGACGATCACTCTCATGGCCAATGAGATAGATAATAGCATGGTAACATCTTTGTCTATTGTTCGAAAAAGGAATTTTTTTTTTGAAAGGAAATGAGACCAAGTTGGTGTAAGCTACAAAATTTTACAAAAGTAATTAATATTTTTGTCATTAAAATATATTTTTGGATAGTAAGTATACCAAAAAAAAAAGATCATTTCGGCAACAAAACCGCTCATGCCCTAAATTCAATACTTCCACAAAGAATCAGTTCCATCAGTGACAAAACAAGAATATAAAACAACAGAATGATGAAACTAAAGCCGTAGCATCAACAAGATTACAACAGAATAAACTAAAATAGGCATGAACTCAATAACAAATAGATAGATATAATGAATGGCCTGTAAAGGAAAGAGACAAAATGATTGATTCCCTTCTCTGGGTTCAAATAAGGTCAATGCCCATGAAGACAAAACCTACAGTAATGGCTATTCAACCAATGCCCCAAGCTTGTTCTATATATGGCATGATAAGGAAACTGCATTTGAAAACGTCTAGAAGTGGAAAAGGGAAAATCAAGAAAGAAAAAAAATGAGCAAGCCGCATATTGTAGCTATTCCTTATCCTGCACAAGGGCATGTAATTCCCTTGATGGAGTTTTCACAATGCTTAGTTAATCATGGTTTCAAAGTCACATTTGTGAACACAGAGCATAATCACAAGCGAGTCATGAATGCCTTGGCTGATGAAAGTCATATAAGTAGGAATCAGCTCCATCTTGCTTCACTTCCAGATGGCTTAGAACCCTGGGAGGACAGGAGTGAACTAGGGCAGTTAACTGAAGCATTAAAATGGATCATGCCTGGGAAGTTGGAGGAGCTCATAGAAAATATCAACCAAGGGGAAGGTGACAAAGTCACTTGTGTCATTGCTGATGAGAATTGTGGCTGGGCCCTGGAAGTAGCAGAGAAAATGAAACTCAAGCGGGTTGCCTTTTGGCCTGCATCAGCTGCAGCGTTGACGTTGATTTTCGGTATCCCAAAGTTAATTCGTGAAGAAATCATTGACAATGATGGTAAGATCCTCCATCTCTAACTTGTGAATATTATGAAACACTGTTATGCAATATTTTAGTCCAACAGGTTCTTAATTAAGATTGATCAAACTCACTCATCAAACTATGCAATAGGATAAGCACAGAAACAATATATGAAAAAATTTCACTAACCTTAAGTAGCAATGGGACTTATGAGGACTCGGTGTTCTTGAGTTCTGTTAAGTGGCATCCTTGAATCCAACATCGCTAATGCCAGAAGATTTAAAGTACTTCGTCAGCACATTGATGTGGGATTTTTTGGGGTATCTTCAGTTATTGTCCTTATCTTTTTCATAATCTTTCACTTTTGGCAGGAACTGTATTGAAAAGCCAGAATGTTGACTTGGGACCAAACATGCCCACCATGAACACTAAAGACTTTGTGTGGGCATGCATAGGTGACTTTACCACTCAGAAAATGATATTTGAGGTAATGTTAAGAATCAACAGGACTCTGAAACTGGTAGAAAGGCTTGTTTGCAACTCAACATATGACTTTGAGCCAGAAGCATTCACCTCGGCCCCTGAAATTTTACCAATAGGCCCACTCTTGGCAAGCAACCGGGTCGGAAATTCAGCAGGCTCCTTTTGGCCACAAGACTCAACTTGCTTGCAGTGGCTGGATCAACAGCCACTCAACTCAGTCATCTATGTTGCATTTGGCAGCTTCACAGTTTTTGATCAAACCCAATTCCAAGAACTGGCTCTGGCTCTTGAGCTATCCCAAAGGCCATTCCTCTGGGTTGTAAGGCCAGATACTACTGACAAGACATCTGATCCATACCCAGAAAGATATCAAGAGCGTGTAGCCTCTCGCGGTCTGATGGTGGGTTGGGCATCTCAGCAAAAGGTTCTAGCTCATCCTTCTATTGCTTGCTTCTTAAGCCACTGTGGTTGGAACTCTACAATAGAAGGTTTAACCAATGGGGTTCCTTTCTTGTGCTGGCCATACTTTGCTGATCAGTTCATTAATGAGAGCTACATTTCTGATGTTTGGAAGGTGGGGTTGAAGTTCAGTAAGAATGAAAAAGGGATCATAACTCAAGGAGAAATCAAGAACAAGTTGGAGCAACTGCTTGGTGATGAAAATTTCAAAGCAAGAGCTTCCAAACTCAAGGAATTGGCCATGACCAGTGTCAAAGAAGGGGGCCAATCCAACAAGACCTTTAAGAATTTTATTGAATGGATCAAATCGTAAGCAAGCAAGTCGCCTATCATTTGGTTTCGTCTACTCAAAATTCAAGTTTTTTTATATTTTTTATTTTAAAATATTTAATACAAGCATTATTAGGAAATGGGAAATCGAACTTAAAACCTCAAGTGCAGAGATAATTACTAATACTCGAGCTACAAGCCCCTTATTTCAAAATTCATGTTTGAAGTTCAAGAGTGCACCATATGATATGTCAAAATTCATATGTTTCAGCTAACTTGTCTTACGTGATTATGGTCTTCTAATCCTATAAGGATTTGGCAATTTACACTGATCTGGGAGTACATACTTAAACATAATCTGCGGTTCTTTTTCTAAGAGTGTTTTAATAGGAAACAAGAACTTAGAGAATTCCTAATTCCATATGGATTGAAACAAACTATCCTAGTGCAAACTGGATTACTTAAGTATTTCTTAATGGGCAGGAAACTTAAGTAAATGCATATAAATAGAGGTCCCTTCTCTAGCAGTTAATCAACTACTCATACAGAAATCTCACCCCACAAGAGAAAAAGCTTAAGGACTGCATAGAAGAAGAAGATCTCTATCTTACCTACTAAAGTCATGTCTTATCAAGGTTATTACTATTGAATAAAGACATGAAGTAACTTATATCAGCTATATTCAATGTACAATAATGTATGACAATTTCACCATTTCAATGTCAATGTCAATCAAACATGTTGACACCTCTAATCACTCTCATTGGCCATTTGATTCAAGTGACCCTAGCATGAAAAGAACACCTTTGTCTATTGCGTATTTAACACCTTCGATACTTCCACAAAGAACGACTTAAACTCAGAAAATTATATTTCAAGCTATGGTAAAAAGCAACAAGACTACGCTAGCCTCAGACTGGCCCCTTTGCAACTCGGCATACGATCTAGAACCAGCAGCTCTCACCTTGGCACCTGAGATTTTACCAATAGGCCCACTCTTGGCAAGCAACAGGCTAGGGAATTCAGCAGGCTACTTCTGGCCACAAGACTTAACTTGCTTAAATTGGCTGGATCAACAGCCACCCTGCTCAGTCATCTATGTTGCATTTGGCAGCATCACAGTTTTTGATGAAACACAATTCCAAGAATTGGCTCTGGCTCTTGAGCTGTCCCAAAGGCCATTCCTCTGGGTTGTGAGGCCAGACACTACTGAAAAAACATGTAATCTCTACCCCGAAGGATATCAAGATCGAGCAGCGTCTCGCGGTTTGATGGTGGGTTGGGCACCTCAACAAAAGGTTCTAGCTCATCCTTCCATTGCTTGCTTCTTAAGCCACTGTGGTTGGAACTCTACAATAGAAGGTATAAGCAATGGGGTTCCTTTCCTGTGCTGGCCATACTTTGCTGACCAGCTCTTTAATGAGAGCTACATTTGTGATGTTTGGAATGTGGGGTTGAAGTTCAACAAGAATGAAAGTGGGATCATTACACAAGGAGATATCATGAACAAATTGGAGCAACTGCTTGGTGATGTAGGTTTCAAAGCAAGAGCTTCCAAACTCAAGGAATTGGCCATGACCAGTGTCAGAGAAGGTGGCCAATCCAACAAGACCTTTAAGAATTTTATTGAATGGATGAAGTCATAGGGAAGTGGCCTACTGACTAATATGTTTCAAGAATTGATGTAAGGCCAATGTATCAGTTGATACAGTGATGCAATATACTATTTGTATCAAATTGTTACTCGACTAGTTGGAAGAATCATAGAACTATTAGATATTCGATACAACGTATTTGAAATGACTAAATACAATGTAACAAATTGAAATTATTAAGTACGGACCGAACCTGCAGTCTGCAGATGACGTATTTTATTGGAGTTATTCGAAAGAAGAGAAAGCAATGTTTTTCCTCCGGCTCCAAGAGTATGGGCAAATGCTAGGTGATGAAGATGTGACATACATTTTGCTTGTAGGCTTGTCGATTGTAGCCAGTCAAGGTTGCTTTTTGAAATGAAAGAACAAGGACTCAAATTCAGATGGGGACATTTATTTCTGTGAAACACTTTGTTATCTCCAATCAAAACTCAAAACTCGCCAATGATGGTTGTTTGAGTTGGTAATGATCGTTCTCTTCGCTATCAAAATCTAGGTTCGAGTTCCACTGCTGACAATACATCTTGATGGGTAATTTGTATAAACTTAAAAAGAAGCTAAGACCCCTCTGTAAGTCCTCAAAGAGACCTTGGTATGCCCTGAACTTGGGATGGTGTAGTCTCCCGCCCCTTAAACTTTCTTTCACCAAAAAATAAAAAGCTGAAAACTCCTTTCTTTTTTTTTAATCCATTTTTCCTCTAGTGGGTAGAGCCTACCAAGCCCAAGGAAGTCATTAAAAGCAAGCTATCAACTCCATGTTACAAAATTTATTGAAAAGCACCATTTTTGCTAAATGAACAGAGAAGAGCATGCTGAGTTGCTGTGATTTGCTTTTGCACATGGTTTCCTTTCTAAGTTTAAAACGCACTTAATTACACAGAGCAGAAAGAACGTTAAGTAAGACATAGAGATTTACGGAGCAAAGAGGAGAGGAGGAGGAGGAGGAGACATACACACTGGCAAAGACCCCTCAAAATTTGGCTTTTGCACATGGGATTCTTGACTGTGCTGCTGAGAAAAACTTGTCACTATCATCACAAACACTGCATGCCACCACCGGCATTGGAAGTGATAGGACAAATTCAAGGACAAGGGGCACCTCTGTCATTTTCATCAAGATATTATGTGAAATATCTATTTAGAATTCAATTTTTACTGCACACACCCATTCCCATTCTTAATTTCAAGCATAGTACCAGTACTTACTGCAATCACTACTGGCAACACCACCACACACCCCATGCTCCTCTCCTCTCTCTCTCTCTCTCTCTCTCTCTCTCTCTCTCTCTCTCTCACACAAAAAGTTGTGTTAAACGGAAATAATATTGTTTTGCTATTTCCAGCCAATCACGGTGTGTCAAGTGAAATGTTATCAAGCACTAGTCACGGTATGTCAAGTGAAAAAGTTATCAAGTGAAAAAATTATCAGGCACGGATGGCATACCGTCATTGGCCGGATAGCACACAAGTGTTTCTGCTCTGTCTCTCTCTCTGCAGAATTAATAATACTGACATATTATGCTTTCAGGCTTTGCTGTAAAAATGCCATGCCTGAGCTCAAGTCATTTTGCATCATGCATGGGTGGGTTGGATGTAGATCCATCATGTCATCATGTATATATATATTTGCTCTGCATTGCATATGTCTCTGTGCTTAGAAAATGATGTGTGTGCAGTGTGCGTCAGTAAGAGAGACATACACATAGAGAGGGGCCAGAAGGGATGTCCAACTCTTGGGTTACCAAAAAATTCCAACCTTTTTTGTTTATGCATTTTAGTTCAGACACAGAAAAACAAAAAAAAAAACCTAACAAAGGCTTGATTAATTATTCAAAAAAATATGACCAATTTCAGGCAAAAAGGTGGAAAATTGTAAATCTTTCTACTTCATTCAGATGAATGAACCCTGCAGAAAATTTCACCTAATCGAAATTACAGAACTTGTCCATCATTTTTTTGCAGAAGATTAATGAACACCATATGCACCAAGATATAAAGTAACACATTCTGCTACAGAAGATCTGATGAAAAATTTAGCTATTAATTAGTTCAGCCTCATGTGGTGGGTGTGGTGGGTGATGATCTTCAACCACACAAAGCATGCAACATCTAAACTTGAAAATTAAATTAAAAGATTTATAATAAAAAAACCCCAAAGACCCTGTCTTTTTTTTTTTCTTTTTCTTTTTCTCTTTCCATTGAAAAATTGAAAGATATTGAACTATAATACAGTAGCAGCAGCAGCAATATTTTCTTTCTCACTAGATCCATAAAGCTCAACGAGTCTCTGCAAAATCACGACCTGGGTTCGCAGCAGAACGATGTAATCCGCCGTTTCTTGGAACAATTCGTCAGCTTTTAGAGTCTTTCCGGCGTGGGATGGGCTGATGAGGCTCTTCAGGGTCTCCAGCTTCGCTGAGACCGTCTTGGAAGAACACTTGCTCTTGCGTCCGCCATTGTTGAAGCTTCTTCTCGGAGCTCCACAGGCACGTGACCCCAGTCTTCTTCTTGAGCTGATTCTTCTTGTTCTTCTTCTTCCTGCCAGGCTGGCTTTGAGGTTTCCTGGAGCTGAGCTCATTGTGTTTTTGTCTGTGTGAAAAACAGTCACAGAGAGAAGAATGTAATGAAGAAGAGGCCTCTCGTGGTTTAAGTAATGGAGGGTTCACAAATTGACACTTGGGTTGCAGTTTACTACGGAAATGCCATTTTTGGCTTTTTCTCTGTCGTTTACTCGTTTTCTTCCGATTCTGTCATTTTTGGGCCTTTTATTTATTGCGTTATAATTGGAAAGAAAATATCATGCAAGTAGCAGGGGAGTAGATTTTCATTTTTTTCAAACGAGGAGAAGGAGGTTATTTTTGTAATTTCACGATTCGATGGTTTGGGCATCTCAATTAAAAGGAGAAAGCGGGAACAGGGCACAACTTGCGAGCCTTAAGGCAGAAAGCCTGCCCATCTGTAACGGCACATGTGAGGTCCGGGACCGTCGAACGCCTCATTCCCAAACTACCCTCAAGTTTATTTATTTGATTTTCTGTATGAGAGTTGATACACATTATAACATTTGACCTTCATCTCTCTCATACTTAAGGGTAGATACATTAATTAATTTTCGATTTGGGTTGTTTTTAAGACCCAACAATATCACTAATACATCATAAAATTTTGCTAATATCAAGTTGACAACTAATCGTTGATTTTTGTGTAAATTTCACGAGTGCATAGACAATTGATAATCGTTGATTGATATAGATCTCACACACTATATCACCCCAATTAATAGCTCACAATTGGTTATAAGTTAGTAAACCTTGTTAGTTATAAGTCACAACAAGTCGATAACAAGCTCAACTAATCGTCATTATTAAATCTAATACTTAGTAAGCATATAAATTAGAATACTCTATTACATAGGTTAGGTGGCCAAGCAAACAAAGCAAATGACAATTAATTACGAGCGATATAGGATGATCCAGAAGAGAAGGCATAGCAAGACAAATTAAGCTTCTGTTTCTCTCCTTTGATTTTGTCCACAAAGGGGGGCTAAAGCTTGTGTTTAATTAATTATTAATAATGTGATGAAACAAGGTAAGGGGCAAAATAGGAAATTGGGATGGAAATAAAGGTTGGAGTGTGAGCTAGCTAGGTCAAGGTGGGTTTGTATTGGGAGTGGGAGTGTGGCTTCCCTAAAGGATGCATGTGAAAGTTGAAATGGGCCAGCAAAGCCCCCCATCTGAGGGCTGGCTTGAGAGAAGAAGAGGGTCTTGATTTGAGAAGAGCTTGAGATGAGAGAGTTGAGAAAAAAGAGCACATGGGAAGCACATGCAGATGAGGAGTTTTGGAGTGTAGTTTGGGAGAGGAGGGGTAGGGCATGTGACAAATGAAATGAGAGACAGTGAGGCAGCATGAAATGTACAGCATGTTTTGCACATTCCCTGCATGGAACTGATCAACTGGCACTACCTTTTCTCCTCTCTCTCTCTCTCTCTCTCAAATTTTAATCATTTAATTTTTTATCAATCAATTCATATATAATTATAAAATATTTATAAATGGGTTTTAGACTTGGTTTCAATTGGAAGCTAATTCAATCCGGCATGTGTGACATGTGTCTAAGCAGTGCACATTGCATCATTCCTATACATATTTTGTTAATTAATCAAGGTCAATTATTAAAATGTATCGAAGTACCATTCTGTGATCCATTTCATTAAGCTAAACAGAAGATCCTGTCTTCTCTCGTAGGTGGACTTTTGTTGTAACTACCACTGCAAACTTCCAACAATATTTAACTTTATCCATTAAATGTGAAACAAATATGGCACAGCATGTTTTTCTGTACTAGAATTACAGGTTCAAATAAAAAGTTCACCCTATTTCTAACTCTGTTGCCGAGTCGGTCTAACTCTAATGATTTTTCTTGTATGAACTTCTCTATTACAATAAATTTCTAATTGCGCTACCGAGTTTTTTTTTTTTTTTTTTTTTTTTGGGAGTAAAGAGTTAAAAGGTGAACTTCGATTTGGTATTCATTTAGAATAAATTTGACAACATAGAACAGGTCTTTTATAGGTGGTAATTATATATAGGTCTAGATCAATCATATGAATGGTCAATCTAGAACTCAAATCCTTTCTTGCTATACATGAATGTGAGGGACATGATGATGATGATGTTGATGATGAAGGCCAATATTGTACAATATATATATATAAGCAAATCACAGAGAGCTAGATGTGATGTAACATCTTTTTTTTTTCTTTCTGGCTGATCGGATAGCTAGCACTTGATTTGTTAGAGTGGAGAGGAGAGGAGAGGAGAGGAGAGAGCTCAGTTAGCAATTCATGAGCTGAGAGCAATTGATGCATGTGGACATGTGGAGGTTTTCACTTTATTCCTTTTGTTTTTCGGTCGGCAGAGGCTGCCATAATCGAACATGGCTCACTCTCCCCTTTTGATTGCAACTCCATGTCCCACTTGTTTTGTCTAGTCTCAACACAAACCAACTTTTTGCCTCAAATAATATTTCTTCCTCCTTTCCCCCTCTCCTATATGGAATCCCCATCTTAAACACTCAATTTTACTCCTGTCGGCTCCTAATTAGTAACCCAAAACCGATTTTTTATCGCTATTCTTGGTTTCAAAACCATATACCCTCAAATTTATTCCCATCTTATCCACGCATAAATGTTAGATTTCAAACAAACGTGAGTTAAGGTCAGTTGGCCAAAGTAGTGTCCCTTATACCCGAATTCGAGTCAAATTCGATCCCACCCTCTTATACTCGAATTTGATCCCCTCCATATACATCAGAGTAATTTAAAATATCATTTTGTCAAAAACAAAAACAAAAAAACACGTAAGAACCCAAGAATTAATAACAATTGTGAGAGTTTGATCTTAACTTTTTTTTTTCCCCAAACCTAAGGTCTTTTTTTAAACTTACTCTCACAGTCATGTATGATTTTGAATCTAGTTGTCAACCTCTCTAATGCCTCTAAATCAAGAAAGGAATTTAAAAAAAACAATCAATTTATTTCGGTTAAGTTTATTCTATTCTATTTCTACAACAACACTGATTTCGTTAAATTGATGCTTGGGCCATTGCCAATAGCAAAAGCCCTGAAAATGTTGAAATTCAGCTGGTTCCGCCAAATACAAGCCCAACGGTCCTCCGTTGCTTTGTGGGACCATTTGCATTTGCGACCCTGAATAAATAGTTATTTTAATAGAAGTCCTTTTTTTATTTTTTATTTTTTAATAGTTTGCTTACTTTTCTCTTCCATCAGACTCTCTCACTTGACCCCATTCTCGGGTTTTACCAATTCCGCCATCGAATCAGGTAAGAAAAGAAAAAATCTTTCCATTTTCTATTCAATGTTCAGATCAGCAACCTAGCTATTTCTTCAATTTTGTTCTTGTTTATCTTCTTCGGCGCGATCTCGGTTAAAGGTTTTGATTCCTGTCTGCGTGCTCTTTTTGGTTTGTCAATTTTAATTTTGGGGGTTTTTAAGTTTGTTTACAGTGTAAATTTTGGATTGTTTTTCTAACTCCAAAGCTTTATCAGTTAACAGTCATGGATTTCGTTTTCTGATTCCTGTAGTTTTGCCTCTGAATAGGATGAAGTCTGCATATGAGTTTGATATGTGTTAGAAATGTACAGGGATTAGTGAAATGTTTGACATTTCAATCTCTGTATATTGATAATACGCCTTGTGTTATGGTGGTAGCTATCAGAATGACAATACGGGTTATTTCTCGCATCTGAATTTTCTATATGCTTGGTATTTGGGGGACATTTATCCCCATTTCTTGCAAACGTTATGTTGTTCGTATCGTGTTGGCAATTTGCATATGTAAAATGCACGCAAGTACCGAGTGTAGAAAGAATTCTGTGGTTGTTCGATAAGAAAATTGGCTAATGTATTCGGCCCAATGTAGGGTTATGAAAGTGCATTTGCTTATTGAATAAGACCGCCAATGCATAACGGAATGTTTGGTCCAATGCTAGGTTCTTCTTGAGTTGCCTTACACATTGTTATCAAAAGCCAGTGCTTAGTTTGAGTACATCTCTTCAGAACCAAACTCAGTGTTAGGAGTCTTAGATATTTATGTTTTTTTACATTTGAACTGATTTTGATATATGTGATCTATAGTTTTTGTGCCTTTCCCCATTCTCTCTAGAGCATGTTTGTGTTTAACTAAAAGTTGGAGTGTATATTTTCTGAATTTTGAATTTTGTTCTGTTTTTATCCTTTTTCCACAGGGTTTTCTGCGAGTTCACTGTTTTTAGTCCCCTAATGTGTTGATCGTTGCAGGGACATATTCTATTTTTAAAGCTAGCTGAAAATGACATACGAAGAGGTTCTGAAGGCCGTTTTTCCTTTACTGGAGGGTGTGGACCTTGCTTCTTGTATGGCAGTGTCTAAGCAGTGGAGACACATAGCTCGAGATGATTTCTTTTGGAAGTGCGCATGCGCCAAGAGATGGCCTTCTATCTGCAAGCGACCTAACCCTCCAACTCTAACGTATTACAAGCTGTATCAAACCTTTTATAAGCGCCGGCCTGGTCGAACTCTTCTTCCCCCAAGACTTTCCTTTGATGACCTGGAATTTTTCATCGATATCTGGACGGAAGATCAATTTATCTTTTCCGAAGTGGTCCCAGGCCCGATCCTACAGAACAGTATTAAAATCCCATCACCAGGAGTATGTGACATGCTTAGATTGCACATGGAGAGCTCCGAGTACAAGATGAAAGTCCCTGTTGAGCCAAGGTTCACAGTTCCTTTGAGCCAGACCGTGAATGTTTCAGTGCTTGTGGGGCGCAAGGATTCTAATAAGGTTGCTTGTATACTTAATAAATCTAAGTTTGACTACATTGATCGAACAGCATATAGAGCCATGGCAAATGACTACCTTGACTTCTCACCGGTCTACCCATTCACTACGGGTATCCGGGCATGGATCTCTTTGCTTTTCATGGACAGCGGAAATGAAGGAGTTGTTGATGTCTTTGGGATTGAAATGGATTTCATGGATGCTGCAAACTCGAAGGAAGAGGTTTTGTGGCTATTA